AATTCGGAGTGGATAAATGTTTGTTGCGAAGTTTAATTACGTATGAAAATATGGAAAATATAACTGAATGTATTCATAACACCTAACTTTCGGTTTGATGACGTCACAGTATTTGGAAGCAAAGGATGAACATTGTGGATATCGTTATTTGGGCTACGAAGATATACGACATGAATCAAATGGATATCGTTATTTGGGCTACGAAGATATACGACATGAATCAAATGATGCAATTAAATTTAAAATATTATCGCTTTCAAATTCTCACAGATGTAACTTCCGGTCTGATGACGTCATGAATTTGAAACCTTGCCAAATTATCTGTTGCTAATCAAAGAATTTCAAGGGGCGATTTTGTAAAATTGTAACGGATGATTTTCAAATTAAAGAAAGCAAACACTATTTAATATGCCGCTAGGGGGGCGCCCTTTTGAAAGATGACGTCATCACACTGTTTTGTGTCTGGCATTCCTCAATAAACACTTTCCTAATATATATGTGTGTAGTAAAATGCTTCCGCTTTTGAGTTATACTCGGGTTTTATTGCTTTTCCGGTAACACCGGAAGTGAAGGTCAAGCGGTTTTGTGTCCGGGGACAAGAAATGTTTCTCACAGCAAAGTATACAGACTCACAAAAACGAACATGATACTATATTTAGTTCAAAAGATATAGCGCAAACTATTTCATCAAAATTTGCCCTTCAGTCACTTGTAATTTGATACATGATGACGTCATGATGACGTAACAAAATATATAGAATCTTCGTAACGTGGTACAAGTTCACACTACGGGCACAACCCGACCACTCGGGCACAACCCGACCACTCTCTATTATGTTACGATTAATTGAGTGGTCGGGCACAACCCGACCACTCTCTATTAATGTTACGATTAATTGAGTGGTCGGGCACAACCCGACCACTCTCTGTTATTGTTCTGGTAAATCTTTCTCTTTTTTTCCCGGACAATACTTCTCCGCGGCTTTTCTCCTAAACGGTTCATGATATGAACTTGTAACTTTCAATATAT